TCCCATAATATTATTTTAAAAACTGTATGGATCGAGTATCTTGTAACATGCAAATGAGCTAAGAAATAGCATCAAATCATGCGCATGTGCTTCAGCTGACCGTGTCCCTTTGACTATATCCCCACTCTAGAAACTGCAAGGGGTATGGGTACAAGATTTCGGCACATCGAATTCTGGGATCGTTTGAGTAGACAAGCGTTTACTATGACTGGTTATTATTCATTCAAAATATTTTCTCGATTCTGATTGGCTAAAAGCACACGCATAATTCACCATAACCAGCTACTGATGACCAAATTTGGAAGAATATTGCGTTTAATGAGCCGATGACGTCAAAGGTACAGCTTTCTTGCAGGTTAATGCACCTTTAACCGAGAAGACCTGGGGACGAGGTTGAGTTGTTTGGTTGTGAAAACAAAAACGGCTGACATTTCACTCGTTTCAAGAGTAAGAACTAGGCGAAACTGATTGCTAAAAACATGGCAAGAACAGCAAGAAGACAACTCGAATGGCGACATCTGCTATTTGGAGAATATTTGCAGAGCTGAACAACCCTAAACGTGCTCTATCGATAACATGGATGGATCGATGGAGGTAGGCATGTTTTAGCCATGTTTTTATACTAATAATTATTTTGAATGAATAATAAAACAATTATTGAATTTGGCTTTCGTATCATATAAAGAATTGTGGAGTGCCTTGAATTTTCCAGCTTGTACCCATTCTCCTTAGAGTTTCTGAAGCTACTAAGGTTCTGACCTGTGTGCGACTTGCAATATATATGTTGTGGGTTAATTTTATCCTTGGTTTAAATTTCATTTCCCTTTGTTTTTAAGGCCCTGTTCGCTCTTTGCAAAATTTTGTTTATTTTGCAAAAAAATCTGTCAAAATGGAGGCCATTTCTAGCGCGAATGATCTTTTTCACCAACCAAAATTTTCTCAAGTGTCACCAAAGTTAAGTTTAAAGATGCCTTCGGGAAAGTTTGGAGGCCTACAATTTCTTATTAGGCAAAGAAAATCCTTTCTTCCTTGACATCTTATTTTGCGCACATGATTACTATACTCTTTCAGCTGCTCTTTCTTTCTTATTCGTTTGGAATTGAAATGACCAATACGTTCATGCACCCCCGTATTCCCTCGAAAACCATCCCCGAATTCAGACGACAATTGGCAAAGTCTATACGCATTTTAGGACCAAAACGGTGCAAAACCCGTACCATTGGGGGCGGCACATACTTATGACGCAAATATAAAGGAGTGCCCCCCCCCCCCCCCCCCGGGGGAGGCGGATACTGTACAAGTTGTTGCTTTAAAAATAAAATTAACACATGTGAGTGCGAACGTTAGGCGCCGAGGTGTTTTTTAACGTGGCCCTTTTTCTTTATTCGGGCTTATACGAAGACATGTACCTCTTGTTCTAGTCACCAAAGATATTTTTCAGAGCCACGTTCGTTAATTTTATAATTCCCAGTAATTCAAAGTGTACAGTGACCGAAGGTGGTGATTTTTTTATTAGAGGAAGATCAAAGCCTACGGAAAGTTGTACAAGGCAGAAGAAAAACAGTTAAGTTTTGTCCACTGTCGTTGCAGAGTGTCATAGAGTCAAGCATATATATACTTGGTAAATAAGATTAATGTTAGATTAATCGCTAAAATATATATGTATAGTTCTTCAGTTTGACAGGAAAAGAGAACTAATTTTCACCTGACGCTAAATGTGCGCTGTTAAATGCCCCTTTTTTATATTTTGGCGCAAAGATGAAAAGTTAAAAAAAACAGTCGATTCTCTGTGCTGCCTTTAATGGCTTGTCTCCGGTGAAGGCAATGTAAAGTGGAATTTTAATATTTCTGACGTTATTTACAATCATGAAGATGAAAAAGGTTAAAATAAGACGAATAGGTTTGTAACAAAGGAATAAACATCTGCAAGAAGCGGAGACGCCAATTGCGCGTCATCATCCTCTGACGTGAGGCCTGTCTTAAGAAATAAACTTGTACAAATATTTATTATAACTGGAAAGGTCATATGATCAATGTGAGCTGTAGAGCTGTAGTCATTCATGCATCTCGATTTAGCAAAGGCAAGAAATAGCAGGGGCACCCAACGGCAATTTTCGGGAAAATATCTGTTCGGAAGACGATTTGAGATCTAGAATTTTCGGAGCATTTGTTGTAAAATTTCTTGCTTGCCTGCCTCTCCTAGGATTTTCGAACATCTACAAAATGGTATAATTACTCATTTTTAACGGATTCTGACCCTAAAAAAGGCCACCTAGAATTTTCGGGAGCCTTTTCCTGGCTGAAATTTTCGAGAAGGTAAGTTTTTATCCCTATAATTTTCGGATCACTAGATTTTCAGCTAGGAAATCCGAACAGATGAAAAGTTTTTAGGGGATAAAAATATGCCTATATCTACCGTTTGAATACTAAAATACGTTCAACAATGCTATGTTAAGTGGTTTTGAACTATATCCTCGTTGGGTGCCCCTGAAGTAGAGGTGAAGGGTAAAGGTAAAGACTCCTTATTTTGCGTCCGTAGTTCGAAACGCTCACGATTTGACTAAAAAAACCGGAGGCCGAAAGTACGCCAATTTTACTCCTCTCTCGACATCAGTGTTCCGTTTTTCGGGTATATATTTAAGCTCCTAAAAGCTACGAGGCAAGGAAAGAAGGATTTGTAGTCACACATGGGAATCGGACTCGGGGCCTCTCGCACAGAAAACCGTGAACTAACCAACAATGCCTAGACTACGAGCCGTCTTGTTTTTTTCGTAGTCCGTCGAGCGAAACGCTAGAGACACGAAAAAGACCACGCGCGTGTACAGTTCTGAAGCCAGAGATTGCTCGAAGTGTAAACTGTGCCAATCTTTGTCGTTTTGTTTTCCCACCTCCTACCCATGGCACCTATCATAAGAGATCGGAACTTATTAATTTTACGAAAAAAAAAAAAACATTTTTCCTGGTTTAATTTAAAAAGGTTGCCTAAAGGACCATACCGAATCAATCATGAAGAATAATAGAACTAATACTAATGAGAGAAAAAGGGCACGTCCCAACTTTCTCTCGTTTAAAATGAGGTAATCTTTAAGGTATCAGCCACCCTTAAAATTGCCATTTTTTCGTATTTGAGGTTTCAACGTTTTCAAATAGATATGCTTGAGAGCTTTCTTTTAAAAAAAAAATTAGAAGAAAATATTATTTCTGTCGAAAGATATCGGGGGTAAAAGATTTTTTCTCGTTAATTATCTTAATTGATCGTTGACAAGATCTGTCATACCCGTGTCATATATCAATTAACTTGCCCGTGAACTAGTAACGTGATACCGAGTGCGTGCTTCGACACAACACGTGCGAATTGTCTTCGCGTTGTTTATAGCCTTTAGTATTCTCCGTGGATATTTAGCGTTAGTTCAAATCCATAATCTGGAATTATTAAGCTTTTAAAAAATATATGGTTTATAGGGGTTTTTATAAAAACAACTAACGCTACAGTGATCCGCGCGTGGACGGTCCTGAAGGGTGGCTGATACCTTAAGTTAAGACTGATTGATTTCCTTTAGATAAAGAAAATATCATTTATTTTGCCAGAAGCCGGCTTTTAAGCCAATAATTAAATGTCATCCAGCGGAATGACGTGCATAAAATTTTGATGATAGATAAGAAATTTATATTTTCTAAGGGACGGACCATTAGAAAAGTTATGGGGGGGGAGGGGAATTTTCGAGCTGCAAGAATTTTTTTTCGTTATCAGATTCTTTGCATGAATTTTATTTAGGCCATTGCATGAATATTTTTTAGGGTTAATTGGCGTGCATGAATTTTTTTTTCATTTAATTTTCCCTTGCGCGAATTTTTTTTTTTTTCCCCCCCCCCCCCAAGTTTTCTAATGGTCCGTCCCTAAAGTTTAAAAACATCTTGGACTATATCGAGGCATGTAATAAAGAACTTCTACCTCAACTGTCAAACAAAATGATGACGAAATACGTGAGTAAAGTGTCTAAAAGGCTTTAAGAGAACATCCTACGTACATCCTTGATTTTTATGGCATTCAGTGATAAATAAACCCCTTTTTTGATGTCCAAACGTCAGTAATATTAAACAATTAATTTACAGAAAACTGTGGGTTTTTTTACAAGAGGTAGTACAAGACGTGTCAGTTAAATAAGACCTCTAGATCTTGATAAGACACGTCCCTTCTCAAGAATAGACGCGGACTGTACTATTTGGGGTGCTACAATTAAAGCCGCTCAAATGAGTCGTTTAACTGAACTCTAACCTTGGAAACTATAGATAAATATTGCAGCAATGTTCTCTCTCTCCAATAACAGGTATGTTTTAAATTAGGACAACGAGGTTTCTGCGAGAGCTTTGTGGCTCCCAGTGAGCAGTGTAACTAAAAAATATTAATTTCTTGAATCTCAATGACATACTCAGATTTCGTATTAATTTGTGGCTTAAAAATTGGGAAATTATTTTAATTTTAAAATGAAGGTATTGTATGTTTTTTAAAATTGTTTGTTTTATGTATGTACATATATAGAGAGAAAGAGGATATTACATGGCCGCGCGGAGATATGAAATTTCTCTTCGATTGTTGAAAAATATTTCACGAGCGAGCGCAGATAACGAGAGAAATATTTTTTTTCAACACGAAAAGAGAAATTTCGTATCTCCAAGCGAACATGTAAAGTTCTATTTTTATGTAAACATCAAACAAATACCAAACCATTTTACTCAAATAGTTTTTTGGTGTGGAAGGTGCGATTTATTATGTAGCCATAGCAACGGTGATACTTTCACATGTGAACATGTCAAGTTTTCGCGCGAAAGCTCACCTGGTATTTTATTGGTGTTTGTATAATAAATATATGTATCAGAAAAACCCCCTTCGTTTTATTAGTATTTGGTTGAAGTATTTATATCCAAAGTTAAGGCAGCGTAACAAGAAATATGACCTGTTCTTCATTCGCCTCTTCTTTTATTGCAGAGACCTTCCCTTCATGGCAGTAACAAATTTTACTCAAGACAAAAACCAGCTGCAGGCAACAATTCAAGAGCTTTATTGCTCGGCGGAATTTACAAGAGAAGTACACATCGACCTAATTTGCCTTTCAGCTCTAAATATTTTCCTGTCAGTTACTGCATTTCTGGGCAACACTCTGATCCTAGTTGCCCTACACAAGGAAACTTCACTTCATCTGCCGTCCAAACTCCTGTATCGTAACCTAGCGATAACTGATCTCTGTGTTGGTATAATTACAGAGCCTCTGAAGGTCGCTTATTGGATGTCTGTGGTGACAGGAAGATGGAATATATGCTATTACGCTCATTTGCCAGTTGCCATCTCAGGCACTGGTTTGTGTGCAGTGTCTTTACAAACACTGACTGCAATAAGCGTGGACAGACTTCTTGCCTTGTTGCTGGGGCTCAGATACAGACAAATTGTAACTTTTAGAAGAACATTTATTACTTTACTCGGTATGTGGATTTTCTCCATTTTAGGCACATCAAGTTTTCTTTGGAATCCTGTCATTCATCGATGGTATACATACTCAGGCTTGTCTCTGGGTTTGGTCGCCTTGATTTGCTCGAACACAAAAATATTTTCCATCCTTCGTCATAACCAAATTCAAGTGCAGAATCTCGTTGTTCAAGGACAACCGAGCCAAGCAATTCCCTCACTGAACATAGCTCGATACAGAAAAGCAGTCTACAGTGCACTTTGGGTGCAGGGAGCATTCGTTATTTGTTATTTGCCACACGGGATAGCAGTAGCTTTGACACCTGAAAAACGGATGCCCATTTCTATTTACCTTGCCAGGCAATATACGCTCTGTTTAGTTTACTTAAACTCATCATTAAACCCTTTGCTATACTGCTGGAAGATCAGAGAAGTGAGACAAGTTGTGAAAGACTCAATAAGACAACTCTACTGTTAATCGAACTGGTTTGCTGTCATTTCCGTCTTATTGAAAGGTTCGTTGAAATTAAAAAAATCAAATTGACTTATCTGATTGTTACGCTTTGTTGCGCTCTCACAAAAGATGGAATACTTGTAAAATGGCCGAAGCTAAAATGCAGAAAATTAAGGAAGAAGGAGCCGTCAAGAATCAGTGTCTTCTCCTCTTGCTAAAAAGCCCGAAAATTCTAGACCAATTTAAGGGGGCAGACCTCAAACAATCCGTTCATAAACGCTGCGTAGTAATCTCGACACCAGATTCCCAAATTGCATCGATTTTTTTTGTTGTTTCTTTCAGGGTTACCGTAAATCCTCTATTAAGTCCCCCCCCGGGGGGGGGGGCTTATTTATTTCAAGCCCATTTAAGGGGACTGCTTAATAGAGACGGGGGGCTTATTTAATTTAAAGTGACGTTGGAATCAGTTCTCGATAAAGAACTAGAATACTAAGTGGAGAAGCTCAAGAACAAGAAGGTTGGAGGTCATGCAGCCGAGGATCAGAATCAAATTCAAGCTCCCAGTTGGTAAATAAATCATCCCACATCAGCCCGCACAAAGTTTTACAGTCGTGATTGATTAATACAGTCTCCCATTTATTAGTGAAGAATAATTAGGGGAGAGGGGAGGGAGGCTTATTAACTTTCTTCCCCTGAAAAGGGGGGGGAGCTTATTAGAGGGAGGGGGAGGGGGGCTTAATAGGGGAATTACGGTAAAAGTTCAGTTTCGAATTAAAAATTACCGTTGAATACAAACATTAACAGCACATTTATACAGGGTTAGCCTCGACATAAAGTAAAATGGATGTACACACCACCACACATCACGGTTTGAAAGGGAAAGCACTTATCTAAAGGTCTAAACTTCAAATAGGAACAAATCGTAGCATCAGATTTTTCTCCTTTTTTTAGGCTTAAGTGTAGGACTAATACCTTCCCACGAAAACATTACTTTTTGGTAGATGACCTACCCTCCCTTCAATAATGGGGAACGTGTTTCGTCCGCCATTTTGTCATTTTACTGCCCAGACGAGGGCCTTTATTTTCATTCATTTTTTTTTTTTCGATTAGGCTTTGCCACAGGCAGCCCAGTAATTGAGAAAGGAAGGGTACTGTCCGTATTCTTTTCATATAGGTTAGCAAAGGAGATGATTCTGTTTGAGCTGAATTTTCTGAAGGTGGGATTTAAATAAAACCTCCAAGTAGCTATGGCGTACGAAATGTTTGGAGTAAAGCTGGTTTAGGCGGACACAGTCAGCTTTGGACCTCGCTGACCTGGACACTACCTAGTTTTTCCACTTTGAGAGGCGTTTACCTCAACCGGCCAAAAATCAAAGGTACGCGTCGGATACATCTAGAAACTCGCTTCAATTTTGCCAAGTGTTTCATTCGATCTTCGATCTTTTCCTGAAAACCTGCTCCTGAGTATTCTTTTATTCATCCCATAATATTATTTTAAAAACTGTATGGATCGAGTATCTTGTAACATGCAAATGAGCTAAGAAATAGCATCAAATCATGCGCATGTGCTTCAGCTGACTGTGTCCCTTTAACTATATCCCCACCGTGGCTAGAAACTGCAAGGGGTATGGGTACAAGATTTCGGCACATCGAATTCTGGGATCGTTTGAGTAGACAAGCGTTTACTATGATTGGTTAGTATTCATTCAAAAATATTTTCCCGATTCTGATTGGCTAAAAGCACACGCATAATTCACCATAACCAGCTACTGATGACCAAATTTGGAAGAATATTGCGTTTAATGAGCCGATGACGTCAAAGGTACAGCTTTCTTGCAGGTTAATGCACCGTTAACCGAGAAGACCTGGGGACGAGGTTGAGTTGTTTGGTTGTGAAAACAAAAATGGCTGACATTTCACTCGTTTCAAGAGTAAGAACTAGGCGAAACTGATTGCTAAAAACATGGCAAGAACAGCAAGAAGACAACTCGAAGGGCGACATCTGCTATTTGGAGAATATTTGCAGAGCTGAACAACCCTAAACGTGCACTATTGAAGATGAACTTAACATGGATGGATCGTTGGAGGTAGGCATGTTTTAGCCATGTTTTTAAACTAAAAATTATTTTGAATGAATAATAAAACAATTATTGAATTCGGCTTTCGTATCATATAAAGAATTGTGGAGTGCCTTAAATATTTCAGCTTGTATCCATTCTCCTTAGAGTTTCTGAAGCTACTAAGGTTCTGACCTGTGTGCGACTTGCAATATATATGTTGTGGGTTAATTTTATCCTTGGTTTAAATTTCATTTCCCTTTGTTTTTAAGGCCCTGTTCGCTCTTTGCAAAATTTTGTTTATTTTGCAAAAAAATCTGTCAAAATGGAGGCCATTTCTAGTGCGAATGATCGTTTTCACCTACCAAAATTTTCTCAAGTGTCACCAAAGTTAAGTTCAAAGATGCCGTCGAGAAAGTTTGGAGGCCTACAATTTCTTATTAGGCAAAGAAAATCCTTTCTTCCTTGACAGCTATCCTTCGTCGGGTCATCTTATTTTGCGAACATGATTACTATACTCTTTTAGCTGCTCTTTCTTTCTTATTCGTTTGGAATTGAAATGGCCAATACGTTCATGCACCCTCGTATTCCCTCGAAAACCGTCCCCGAATTCAGACGACAATTGGCAAAGTCTATACGCATTTCAGGACCAAAACGGAGCAAAACCCGTACCCTTGGGGGCGGCACATACTTATGACGCAAATATAAAGGAGTACCCCCCCCCCCCCGGGGGAGGCGGATACTGTACAAGTTGTTGCTTTAAAAATAAAATTAACACATGTGAGTGCGAACGTCAGGCGCCGAGGTGTTTTTTAACGTTGCCCTTTTTTCTTTATTCGGGCTTATACGAAGACATATACCTCTTGTTCTAGTCACCAAAGATATTTTCAGAGCCACGTTCGTTAATTTTATAATTCCCAGCAATTCAAAGTGTACAGTGACCTGCAGGTGGTGATTTTTTATTAGAGGAAGATCAAAGCCTACGGAAAGTTGTACAAGGCACAAGAAAAACCGTTGAATTTTGTCCACTGTCGTTGCAGAGTGTCATAGAGTCATGCATATATATACTTGGTAAATAAAAATTAATGTTAGATTAATCATTAAAATATATATGTATATTCCTTCAGTTTGACAGGAGAAGAGAACTAATTTTCAGCTGACACTAAATGGGCGCTGTTAAATGCAGCTTTAATATTTTGGCGCGAAGATGAAAAGTTTAAAAAAAGGTCGATTCTCTGTGCTGCCTTTAATGGCTTGTCTCCGGTGAAGGCAATGTAAAGTGGAATTTTAATATTTCTGACGTTATTTACAATCATGAAGATGAAAAAGGTTAGAATAAGATGAATAGGTTTGTAACAAAGGAATAAACATCTGCAAGAAGCGGAGACGCCAATTGCGCGTCACCATCCTCTGACGTGAGGCCTGTCTTAAGAAATAAACTTATACAAATATTTATTATAACTGGAAAGGTCAGATGATCAATGTGAGATGTAGAGCTTTAGTCATTCATGCATCTCGATTTAGCAAAGGAAAGAAGTAGAGGTGAATGGTAAAGGTAAAGATTCCTTATTTTACGTCGGTAGTTCGAAATGCTCACGATCTGACTAACAAACCTGAGGCCGAAAGTACGCCAATTTTTACGCCGTTTTTCGGGTATTTAAGCTCCTAAAGGCAAGGAAAGAAGTCCAAAGAAGGATTTGTAGTCACCAAGAGCCATAATGGGTCCCATTATGGCTCTTGTAGTCACACATGAGAATTGGACTCGGGACCTCTCGCACAGAAAACGGCCAACTAACCAACTGTGCCTAGATTACGACCTGTCTGGTTTTTCTTCTTAGTCCGTCGAGCGAAACGCTCGAGACACGAAAATGACCACGCGCGTGACTGGAGGCGCTTGGGCACGTGTACAGTTCTGAAGCCAGGGACTGCTCACAGTGTAAACTGTGCCAATCTTTATAGTTTTGTTTTCCCACCTCCTACCCATGGCGCCTATCATAAGAGATCGGAACTTATTAATTTTACGAAAAAACCCATTTTTCCTGGTTTAATTCTTCTTAAAACGGGTGCCTAAAGGACCGTACCGAATCTATCATGATGAATAATAGAACTAATACTAATGAGAGAAAAGAGGCACGTCCCAACTTTCTCTCGTTTAAAATGAGGTAATCGTTAAGTTAAGACCAATTGATTTCCTTTAAATTAAGAAAATATCATTTATTTTGCCAGACGCTTTTATGCCAACAATTAAATGTCATCCAGCGGCATGACTTGCATAAAGTTTTGATGATAGATAAGAAATTTATATTTTCTAAAGTGCAAAATCATCTTGGATAATATCATGGCATGTAATAAAGAACTTCTACCTCCGCTGTCAAACAAAATGATGACGGAATACAAGTAAAGTGTCTAAAAGGCTTTAAGAGAACATTCTACGTACCTCCTTGACTTTCATGGCATTCAGTGATAAATCATAACCCCTTTTTTGATGTCCAAACTTCAGTAATATTAAAAAATTAATTTAAAGAAAGCTGAAGTGTTTTTTTTACAAGAGGTAGTACGAGACGTGTCAATTAAATAAGACCTCTAGATCTTGATAAGACACGTCCCTTCTTAAGAATAGACGCGAACTATACTATTGGGATGCTACAATTAAAGCTCTCAAATGAGTCGTTTAACTGAACTCTAACCTTGGAAACTATATATAAATATTGCAGCAATGTTCTCTCTCTCCAGTAACAGGTATGTTTTCAGTTACCACGGACGAGGTTTCTGCGAGAGCTTTGTGGCTCCAGTACCATTAATTACGTTTTATACGAGAGTATGGTGAGCAGTATAAATCAAAAATATTAATTTCTTGAATCCCAGTGACATACTTAGATTTCATATTAATTTGTGGCTCAAAAATTGGGAAATTATTTTTAAAATGAAGGTATTGTATGTTTTTTAAAATTGTTTGTTTTATGTATGTACATATATAGAGAGAGAGGATATTACATGGCCTCGCGGAGATGCGAAACTTCTCTTCGAGTGTTGAAAAATATTTCACGAGTGAGCGCAGCTAACGAGTGAAATATTTTTTTCAACACGAGAAAAAAAATTTCGTATCTCCAAGCGACCATGTAATGTTCTATTTATTATACCCGTATATAAACACAAATGAAATACCAAACCATTTTACTTAAATAGTTTTTTGGTGTGAAAGGTGCGATTTATTATGTAGCCATAGCAACGGTAATATTTTCACATGGGAAGATAACATGTTACTTTCACATGTGAAGATATCAAGTTTTCGCGCGAAAGCTCACCTGGTTTTTCATTGGTGTTTGTGTAATAAATATAATTATATATCAGAAAAAAACCCCTTCGTTTTATTATTATTTGGTTGGAGTATTCATATCCATATTTAATGCAGCGTAACAAGAAATTTGGCCTGTTCTTCATTCGCCTCTTCTTTTATTGCAGAGACCTTGCCTTCATGGCAGTAACAAATTTTACTCAAGACAAAAACCAGCTGCAGGCAACAATTCAAGAGCTTTATTGCTCAGCGGAATTTACAAGAGAAGTACACATGTACAGCGACCTAATTGGCCTTTCAGCTATAAATATTTTCCTGTCAGTTACTGCATTTCTGGGCAACACTCTGATCCTATTTGCTCTGCACAAGGAAACTTCACTTCATCCTCCGTCCAAACTCCTGTATCGTAACCTGGCGATAACTGATCTCTGTGTTGGTATCATTGTACAACCCCTGGCTGTGGTTTATTGGATATCTGCGGTGACAGGAAGATGGAATATATGCTATTACGCTCATTTGCCAGTTACCATCTCAGCCACTGGTTTGTGTGCAGTGTCTTTACTAACACTGACTGCAATAAGCGTGGACAGACTTCTCGCCTTGTTGCTGGGGCTCAGATACAGACAAGTTGTAACTTTTAGAAAAACAGGTATTACTTTACTCGGTATGTGGATTTTCTCCATTTTAGGCACATCAAGTTTCCTTTGGGATCCTGTCATTCATCAGTGGTATACATACTCAGGCGTATCTCTGAGTTTGATCGCCTTGATTTGCTCGAACACAAAAATATTTTCCATTCTTCGTCAAAACCAAATTCAAGTTCAGAATCACATTGTTCAAGGACAACCGAGCCTAGCAATTCCCGCACTGAACATAGCTCGATACAGAAAGGCAGTGTACAGTGCACTGTGGGTGCAGGGAACATTGGTTTTTTGTTATCTGCCACACGGGGTAGCAGTGGCTTTGACACCTGCAGAAGGGATGCGCATTTCTATTTACCTTGCCAGGCAATATACGGTCTCTTTAGTTTTCTTAAACTCTTCATTAAACCCTTTGCTGTACTGCTGGAAGATCAGAGAAGTGAGAAAAGCTGTGAAAGACTCAATAAGACAACTTTACTGTTAATCGAACTGGTTTGCTGTCATCTCTGTCTTATTGAAAGGTTGAAATTAAAAAAATCAAATTGACTTCTCTGCTTGTTACGCTTTGTTACGCTGTCACAAAAGGTGGAATACTTGTAAAATTTCCGAAGCTAAAATGCAGAAAATTAACGAAGAAGGTGGCATCAAGACTCAGTGTCCTCTCCTCTTGCTAAAAAGGCCCTGAAAATTCTAGACCAATTTAAAGGAGCAACACCCTCAAACAAATAAAATCCGTTCATAAACGCTGAGTAGTAATCTCCTAACCAGATCCCCAAATTGCATCGATTTTTTCGTTGTTTATTTTAGGGTCACCGCAAATCCTCTATTAAGCCCCCCGAGGGTCTTACTGTTATTTCAAGCCCATTTGAGGGGAGGGGGCGTAATAGATACCGGGGGCTTATTTAATTTAAAAAGACGTTGGTATCAGTTCTCCATAACGAACTAGAATACTAAGTGGAGAAGCTCAAGAACAAGAAGGTTGGAGGTCATGCAGCCGAGGATCAGAATCAAATCCGAGCTCCCAGTTGGTTAAAAAAATCATCCCGGATCAGTCCACACGAAGGTTCACAGTCGTGATTGATTAATACAGTCTCCCATTTATTAGTGAAAAATAATTAGGAGAGGGGAGGTAGGCTTATTAACTTTCTTCTCCTGAAAAGGGAGGGGGCTTATTTGAGAGGGGGGATTAATAGGGGATTTACGGTAAAAGTCCAGTTTCGAATTAAATATTACCGTCGAATACAAACCTTAACGGATCACTCACCGTTTCTGGGCAACGTATCGTAAAGTACTCGATAAAAATCGTCTCGATTTAATGGCCTCTCGATTACGTTTACGGCAGTCGAATCGAAAACGTGAAATCGATACTCTTTGCCACCTGTCTCGATTAACGGCACATTTATACAGGGTTAGCCTCGACATAAAGTAAAATATTCAGAAATTCCGGCAAGTAAGTGTTTGAAATTTGAATATACACAATAGACAGAGTAATAAACAGCTCTTTTTCTCGATGGAAATTGTGAATATATTACTTCAGATGGAGGCTAAGCCTGTAAAAAATGCGTCTTCAGTTCTTTGATTCAGCAGTCATAGCGAACTCGAAACTGAACTACTCTGGAGATGTATATGTTGCGTATCACATGAAACGTAGAGTTCTCTTTATGGCGCGGCTTTTGGCATTTGTAAAGTCGTTCGCGCGGCTTGACAGGTTGCGTAGTTGGTTTGTTTACGCCTCTCTTTGCGTCTGACAAGCCAAGCAAACCACTTCGTAAATGCTAAAAGCCAAATAAGAAAGAAACCTCTGTTGGCAGGGTACATTTTTTATGACAACATTTGTAAGAGTTCAGTTATGTAAACAGCAGCTCTACTTCTTTTGGTTTTTCATATCTTAGGACAAGAATTGATTTATAACTTCGTGCAATAACAAATCAAGAAAGAGTAAAAGGTCATCATATTTCATTTACCGGCATTCATTATAGTCTGAGAAGTCACTCATTTTGCACGCATTACGTGCCATCATTTTCTATTTGCCGCAAAACCTATGCCCCGCGAGGATTCTGGGAACAAGACTCCAATGCTGTCTATCAACATATGCAGTTTTAATAGACAGTAAAAGATACGTAATCTTACTCAGTTAATACAAGAACGTAGAAATCACCATAAGTGTTGTGAAGACATCACTGATGCTATCCAACAACAAGAGGTTTTTCAGGTATGAGTCTGCTGACGAAATGGCTAAGCAAAACATGATGACCAATGCTAACGCTAGAGAGACCAAGGGCTACTCGCCCCCTACTAATTCTGGTCCAGTTCTGTTTGTAACTGATCATATCACGAATCCCTAAGGCTGCGAGCAAACGGGCGCAACAACTCACAACATTGTTGCTTGCGTGTTGGCAGTGGTGTGCAAACGGATGCAATAACTCCCAACCAGTTTGGGACCTGCAGTGCATCGTGGGAAAAATACAACCCATAAGTCTTTGTACTCCATGCGTAATGAGCGTGCGTGGCCCAACAATATTAATGTTGGAAGAGCAAACGGATCCAGCCTCTTTGGGGAGGTAACAATAAAGTATGTATGTATTGTTGGGCTACGCTTCGGCGATCACAGAACAAAAGAAATGTTGGGAGTTGTTGGCTGAAAAGTTTGACCGGTTTCAAACTTTGCGCAACGACACGCAAAAACATTTGCGGAACACCATGCAACAGGGTGTGAAAACGGACGCAACATGTAACATCCAACAATGTTGCGTCCGTTTGCACGGGGCTTAAGGCTGCGTGCAAACGGACGCAACATTGTTGACCAATAACTCCCAACATTGTTGGATGTTACATGTTGCGTCCGTTTGCGTTTTTTATCTCTCGCTCTAGATCTCTGTCGCCATTTTTCTCGTTGAGTTGAGCTTCGCAGGCCTGCCGCCTCTTTTTCTCTGTCTTTCTCTTGCAATATATTCCAAATTTGTGGACATGACAATTAATATAAGCTTAAAACTTTAGACAACACAGATACAGAAACAATTTCCGCTTTCCGTTTTCATCTTTATTGACTCTCAATTAGTTGTCTCTGTTTTACAAGACGCGGGTGGCTATGCGATTTCCCGCCAAAACAGAACTCGAGTTGTATTTGGGTTGCCAGACCTGTTGATTGAGTTATTTTACATTGGTATGCTTGTGGTGCGGACGGACGGTCGGTCGCTCGGGCGGTGTACGGTCACGTGATTTATCAATTTTCTAGGATAGGTAGATTTACTTAGCTATGGCCGCTCCGCACGCGCGCGCTTCGCGTGCGCGTGGAGCTCCGCTAAAAAAGAACAAGACAAAGGAAAAGACCATCATCTTGAACCAACTAACAGTTCACCCCTAACAGAAAAATTTACACTTACTGGATGAAACAAATGATCTCCTCCTCTCAAAATCATTAATTTTTTATAACCAATTTACAAATACATGCTTTATTTAAAAGGATAAATACAAAAGTTTGCCTGCATGGCCTACATCGCCCATGGAATCATAAAATGCACACTTTTCCTTAGTGTTGGGCACAGAGACAACACCCTATTCTATGGTACTATATCATGCCTCTTGATTTTTCTCTTGAATACTGTGCGTTTGCGTTTGGTGTTGCTATATTTTGCTATGTTTCAGTGTTTTTGTGCTTTTTTAAAATCATTTATGTTTGTTTGCGATCATGTCTTATCCATCGATTATATAAAAGAACTAATGAAGGTTTGCGCAGTTTCCAGTATGAGACCTATAAATCGTTAGGCCTTAGGGTTGATTTTCACTGCCGCGTAATTTTTACGTGCGCACGTGCGTCAAATTTACCTTCGCAAGTAAGGGACCAGTCATAATTTAAGTTGGAGGGGGGTGGAGGAGAAATTGGGGGCCTTCAATTTTTTTTGGATGGAATATGGGGGCCTTAAAATGTCAAAAGATGACCTTGGGGGGGTCTTCAAGTTTCTTTTAAGTAGCATCCCTACTTAGCAGCAAGATGTTTGAGTATTAAAGGACCTGATTTTCATTCAGTTTTACACAAAGTCCTATATTGTGTAATACTAAAACAATTTAATCAGCATTTTTACAAAAAGATTTAATGCTCAAATAGTAGGAGCATCAACACAACATCCATTATTGTGTAACACTGAAACAATTTCCTGGGCATTTTAACAAATGATTACATGCATAAAGTCATGTTATGCAATCTCACTATCCGAATCATTATTTGTAGATGAGGTTGATGTGGACTCACTGTCTGTGTCACCGTCAAGTTTTTTGCTATTAGAGCATGTACTGCTCATATAAAAAGCAGTAAGCTTTTGCTGATTATCTTCTTTCTTCCTTGAAGCGGTCCTGTCGGCCTCTCACCTTTCGATGGCTTGTCTTATCTCAATTATGACACAATCACTGATATATGCTTGGTCTATAAGCTGTTTGAGAGGCTCTAGGTGAAATCTCTTTCTCAGTTTTGTGTGAAGTGCTTCTCTGTTGTTAGTTGGCACATTCGGAAGTGACAGTTAGTAAGAACGGTAAAGTAAAGAAAATGTTATTTGTTATTACCATTTGGGTATTTATGTATAAGAAAGGGGGGCCCTTAAATCTTTTAACATGATTGAAGGGGGGGTACCTAAAAAACATGGGTGCTATTAGTGGGGGTCCGGAAAAAATTTGGAATAAAAAACAATTTCTCCCCCACTCCCCCCTCCAACTTAAATTATGACTGGTCCCTAAAATAGAGGCAATAACAGGTCCCTCGTAAGCGTAAAAGTTGAACCTCGCTCAACTTCTCGTTCAAGCTCAGCAGTTTTTATCTTGCCTCTATTTGATTTACGTGATTAAAATTATATGTGCGTTAACGAGCGTAGCCAAAAACGAGTCAGTGGAAATCAACCTTAAAGCAATTTTTCTACAATTTTTGTCTCCATAGATCCTACCAAGCGTTTCGGCTTGGGATACTTGTGTAACATCATGACAGTTTTATGTTATTCGATACATGGAATGAGAAAAAAATAAAATAAAATAAATCGACTGAAGAGGAGGTTCCTACAACTCCTCACCTCCTCACCTCACCCCCTCACCTCACCCCTCCCCCGACATCCCCTCCCCCGACATCTCCCTAAGTTCTGACCGAGTGGAGCTTGGGGACCAGGGGAAACTGGGAAACCAAGATGGCGCCTTATGATGGCGCCCATGTTCAACTTCAAATGAAAGCACGGATTCTGCCAGAACGCAGCTTGGTCTTTCAGTTCAGCGGCTTATTACTTTCTGGATCATTCAACTGTGATAAAAGGAAGGTACTTTATTTTGAACAAGAAAACTCAAGTCTGTTTACAAACTGTGACAAAGCACATGATCTTGCACAGCATGGAGAATTTTGATCACAGTACCGGTAAGACATAACGGTTTCAGCTTACAGAGCAATTTTAGAGCTAACGAAACTACATAATAGTAGCTTAGATAAGAATGTTAACTTAGCTTCTGTCAGAA